ATGATTATAACATTAATAATCATAGCAATGATAATAATGACATTACTGATAATGAAAATAATGATCATAACAATAAATGTAAAGTTAATAATCATTACAAGAAGGATAATGATAAAGGTGAAATCACTGATGATAATAATATCTATTATAATTATTATAATAATGGTAATTATGATAATGATAATGTTGTTAATAAAAATCATGACAAAAATGATAATAATGATGATAATTGTCATAATAATAATAATAACGATAGTGATAACAATAATAATAGTAACAATAATAATATAATTGGTAATGATAACAATAATAATAGTAACAATATAATAGATAATGATAATGATAATAATAATAATAATAATAATAATGATAATAATAATAATAATGATAATGATGATGACAACAATAATGACGATAATAATATTAATAGTGGTAATAATACTGCTAATAATAGTAATAGTAATAGTAATAATAATAATGATGATGGTGATAATAATAATAGTAATAATAATAATGACAATAATGATAATAACAATGCTACGACTACTGCTACAACTGCTACTACTACTACTACTACTAATATAATGACAATATAATAATTATTACAATAATAATGATAATGATAATAATAATAGTAATGATACTACTACTACTACTACTACTAATGGTAATAATAAGTGATAATAATAATGATAATAACATAAAAAATAACGATGATACTAACAACAATACTGCTTCATATAATAATAATATTGATGATAAGGTTGATGGCAATGATATCAATTATATTACTAATGATAATAATAATGATACGAGTAATGGTGAGGATAATGATGACAATGATGATGACAACATTAATGATAATATTAATAACAATGAATAGTAGTAGTAGTACTAATAATAATGATGATGATGATAATGATAATGATAATGTTAACAAATAGTAGTACTGATACTACTATTAGTGATAATAGTAATAATAATAATAATATTGATAATGATAATGATAATCATGATAATGATAATAATGATGATGATAATGATAATAATATTACTGATAATAATAATAATAATAATAATAATAATAACAATTATGTTTATGTAATGTGGAGTTGCATCTTGCAGTCAAGCCTTCGGGCGTTACTGTTGTCGATGCAGTCACGCCGTCCAAGGCTGTTTCGAGCTCCACAGTTGTTGTGGATGCAGATGCTGTTCGCTGCCTGCTTACTCATAATAATGATAATGATAACAATATTGCTGATAATTACAATAATAATAATAATGATAATGATAACAATAATAATGATAGTAATAATGTATGTGTATTTGCGTGTGTGTGTGTGTGTGTGTGTGTATTCATGTTTATATACAAATATATACATCTGTATAGATAGATAGATAGATAGATAGATAGATGGATATAGATAATAGATAGATAGATAGATAGATAGATAGATAGATAGATAGATAGATAGATAGATAGATAGATAGATAGATAGATAGATAGATAGATAGATAGATAGATAGATAGATAGATAGATAGATAGATAGATAGATAGATAGATAGATAGATAGATAGATAGATAGATAGATAGATAGATAGATAGATAGATAGATAGATAGATAGATAGATAGATAGATAGATAGATAGATAGATAGATAGATAGATAGATAGATAGATAGATAGATAGATAGATAGATAGATAGATAGATAGATAGATAGATAGATAGATAGATAGATAGATAGATAGATAGATAGATAGATAGATAGATAGATAGATAGATAGATAGATAGATAGATAGATAGATAGATAGATAGATAGATAGATAGATAGATAGATAGATAGATAGATAGATAGATAGATAGATAGATAGATAGATAGATAGATAGATAGATAGATAGATAGATAGATAGATAGATAGATAGATAGATAGATAGATAGATAGATAGATAGATAGATAGATAGATAGATAGATAGATAGATAGATAGATAGATAGATAGATAGATAGATAGATAGATAGATAGATAGATAGATAGATAGATAGATAGATAGATAGATAGATAGATAGATAGATAGATAGATAGATAGATAGATAGATAGATAGATAGATAGATAGATAGATAGATAGATAGATAGATAGATAGATAGATAGATAGATAGATAGATAGATAGATAGATAGATAGATAGATAGATAGATAGATAGATAGATAGATAGATAGATAGATAGATAGATAGATAGATAGATAGATAGATAGATAGATAGATAGATAGATAGATAGATAGATAGATAGATAGATAGATAGATAGATAGATAGATAGATAGATAGATAGATAGATAGATAGATAGATAGATAGATAGATAGATAGATAGATAGATAGATAGATAGATAGATAGATAGATAGATAGATAGATAGATAGATAGATAGATAGATAGATAGATAGATAGATAGATAGATAGATAGATAGATAGATAGATAGATAGATAGATAGATAGATAGATAGATAGATAGATAGATAGATAGATAGATAGATAGATAGATAGATAGATAGATAGATAGATAGATAGATAGATAGATAGATAGATAGATAGATAGATAGATAGATAGATAGATAGATAGATAGATAGATAGATAGATAGATAGATAGATAGATAGATAGATAGATAGATAGATAGATAGATAGATAGATAGATAGATAGATAGATAGATAGATAGATAGATAGATAGATAGATAGATAGATAGATAGATAGATAGATAGATAGATAGATAGATAGATAGATAGATAGATAGATAGATAGATAGATAGATAGATAGATAGATAGATAGATAGATAGATAGATAGATAGATAGATAGATAGATAGATAGATAGATAGATAGATAGATAGATAGATAGATAGATAGATAGATAGATAGATAGATAGATAGATAGATAGATAGATAGATAGATAGATAGATAGATAGATAGATAGATAGATAGATAGATAGATAGATAGATAGATAGATAGATAGATAGATAGATAGATAGATAGATAGATAGATAGATAGATAGATAGATAGATAGATAGATAGATAGATAGATAGATAGATAGATAGATAGATAGATAGATAGATAGATAGATAGATAGATAGATAGATAGATAGATAGATAGATAGATAGATAGATAGATAGATAGATAGATAGATAGATAGATAGATAGATAGATAGATAGATAGATAGATAGATAGATAGATAGATAGATAGATAGATAGATAGATAGATAGATAGATAGATAGATAGATAGATAGATAGATAGATAGATAGATAGATAGATAGATAGATAGATAGATAGATAGATAGATAGATAGATAGATAGATAGATAGATAGATAGATAGATAGATAGATAGATAGATAGATAGATAGATAGATAGATAGATAGATAGATAGATAGATAGATAGATAGATAGATAGATAGATAGATAGATAGATAGATAGATAGATAGATAGATAGATAGATAGATAGATAGATAGATAGATAGATAGATAGATAGATAGATAGATAGATAGATAGATAGATAGATAGATAGATAGATAGATAGATAGATAGATAGATAGATAGATAGATAGATAGATAGATAGATAGATAGATAGATAGATAGATAGATAGATAGATAGATAGATAGATAGATAGATAGATAGATAGATAGATAGATAGATAGATAGATAGATAGATAGATAGATAGATAGATAGATAGATAGATAGATAGATAGATAGATAGATAGATAGATAGATAGATAGATAGATAGATAGATAGATAGATAGATAGATAGATAGATAGATAGATAGATAGATAGATAGATAGATAGATAGATAGATAGATAGATAGATAGATAGATAGATAGATAGATAGATAGATAGATAGATAGATAGATAGATAGATAGATAGATAGATAGATAGATAGATAGATAGATAGATAGATAGATAGATAGATAGATAGAACTTAGCGATTTGTCAGTTTTCTCTCTCTATCTCTCTCTGAGATTGCACAGTAAAAATCACATAGAAAGAGCAAAAGAAAGAGTGAAATTAAAGTAACTTGGATAGAATGAATCCCTAATATGAATTGACTATTAAAATGCATTCGTAAATTGTACACCGATGAACATCAACACTGTACTCCATTGTACAATATAAATTTGTGCATGTCACTATACAGACAAAATGCTAAATCATATAACTACTATATGAAGCAAGGAAATCCGAAATGGATGGTTTTGTTACCTTTATTAATAAGGTCTTTTACAGAGTACTTTATACTGATTTGTCCTGTACGAGTATCCATATCTATCAAATTTCATTCCCTGAAGATGTAAAAGACTATGGAATTACAAATATCAGTAGACGCGGTGATATAACTACTTATCTGAATATCGGCAGACGCGGTGACTTTAACCTGAGTTTTAGCAGACGCGATGACATTGATTAAATTAATAGCAGAGACGGTGAAGTTTATCCAAGCATCAGTTCACGCGGCGATATTCACGTAATTATTAGCAGTCATGGCAATATTAGTCCAAGTATCAGTGGACGATGTTGATATTAAACTCAAATTATCGGTAGGCGCGATAACATACATCTAAATATCAGTGGAAGCGGTGATATTAATCTAAATTTCGAGAGATGTATTGTTAAATATCAATTAGAGCGTTTCTTTTCTGCGGGAGGAAATATATCAGTCAGTCGTTATATGTGAACTACGTGACTACTTGAAGCCACTCATTCAAATTTTCAGATGAGATTCGGACGGATTTAACTCTTTATGGAAACATATTTCCTTGGTAGTTTTAATGAAGACCAGAGAAGTTTGTCAGACGAAAAACACATTCATTAGTAATATTAGCAAAAAATGTTTTAGTGTGATGTTGAGTGTCACAGAAAATACAGCACCATTATTTCTATTAAAAGACTGGCCTTGTGATCGAGGTGTGGTTATTTTGAGCACCCTAACCTGACC